TCTCCTGCAACCCCTCAGTTCATAGAAGGCTTGTCTAGAGAACTACGTGCCTCTGAGACTTGAAGATATGAAAATTTCTAGGGAAGTTAGATGCAGACCATCACACACACACATCACGCACACATGTACACATTCATACAGACATCACCACATATATGCACCACACACACATCTACTAAACATGTATACCACATGTATACACATATACATCACACACACATATATCCCATAAACATGCATACATACCATGCACACATATACATGTACATCACACAAATCATGTACATTACACACACACACAGAGACCCAGAATAGTTTTCACAATTTTATAACTCTATGCTCAGGTTCTTCTCATCTGATGTTCCTCAGTTTCACACAGTGACTTGTAAATACTTTTATTTTTAAATGTTGAGATCATTGGATCTGATGGCTAATTTATTCTGTACCCTGTCACAGGGCTTTGCAGGCAATGATTATTCCATTTATATCACAGACCAGCAGGTCTCGAAGTGTAGCCTGGGGGCCCCCAAGACTAGAAGTATGAAACTCTTCAAAGAGTTCTGAGGTCAAAACTTCACACTAAAACATCTGTTGCCTTTACTGCTCTTACTCTCTCAGGGCTGTATTGGGAAGTTTTCTGCTATAATGGGAAGGTTCATGGGTCTCTATGGGACAGCAGTTTCCAAATAAGGAGTGTAAAATAATACAAAACCACGCAGGGGCATGATCCTCTGAAGTTCCAGATAAAGCGATATAGTGGGTTGTTGAGAAAATCATGACACATGACAAAGAAAAATACACTATGACTTTCCCTATGACCTAATATTTCAATGTTACAATCAAAACATTCCATGTTCGGATTCTGCAAATAATCTCTAAGAAACTACCACTTGTCAAGTTCTGGTATAGTATCAAAGAAGAATATCCGCAGTCATCTGAAAAGGCTCTTCAGACACTCCTCACTGTTGAGCTACATACTTGTGTGAGGTCAGATTTCCTACATCCCTTCATACTGCAATAGCCTGAATGCAAAAGAAGCTAAGAGAATTTCAACGGTGTAAAATGCCATTTTTCTCACTAGATATTTGGTCTTGGAGGATAAAACTGTTTGTCAAAAAAAAAATTTAGGTTAAAATACAATAGATGTATTATTGCTATTTTAAGATGAATTAATAAATATATTTTTAAATTTTTACTTTTACCCTCTACTGCCATAGCCATCAGTAGATATAACCTACCCCAAAACAAGTTCTTTTGAGTCCTCAATCACTTTTAACTATATAAAGCTGTTCTGAGAACCAACACTCCAACTCCCTGATTAAAATGTTGGGCAGACCCATTAGTAAGCAAAGGGAGAAACAATCCAGTTTGGAGTCTAACAGACTTGGATGTCAATCAAGGCTCAACCCCACACTAATGGATTTGGAACAGCTTATTCAATACGCTCAAACTTTAATATTTTAATCTGTGAGATGGGAAGGGTAATACTTTTCTAGAACATGTGAGTTTAAGTGGGCCAATGTGTGTAGTAGCACAGATGACCTACAGCTAGTAAGGACTTACACACATCACTATGTATGTAAGCTGCCCTTCCTTCTACACTTCTGGGAGGCAGCCAATAGCTGGTGGGGATGGAGTGAAGCTATTAAGAATTGTGGCCAGTGAACCAATTCCCAAGAAGGCTTCCTGTGTCCTGAGAAGCATCCTGGAGATAGGAGAGCACAGAAGAGGGCTGAGTCTTCAGAGCTCTTTAGCAATGAAGGAGGGTGTCCCTCTTCTGAGAGGCCAGAATTCCAGAGGAAGCAGCTCCACGGAAGGTATAGGTCATCGTTCAGTTCAATTAGCCAATTAGTATGCTTTTTAAGTACTACTCAATAGCTGGCACTGTTTTCAAGCCCCAGAAATGCATGAACAAAAGAGAGAGTTCCAGAAAGTGAGACAGCAATACACGGGATTCCCTGGGAGGACAGCCCTGCAGGTAGGAGAGAGTACTATCAGTGAAGAACCCTGTGCAACACTAAGGACAGAGCCCCTACACAGACCTGAAGGTTCTTTTAAATTACTCTGCACTAAATTTCTTTGTTTCTTCAGAGAGAGAGAGAGAGAGAGAGAGAGAGAGAGAGAGAGAGAGAGAGAGAGAGAGAAAGTACACCCCAGCATGGTCGTCACATCATGATCCTCCCAGGTCTAAGCAGGCCTGGTTTATGGGTCTCATGCACGCACGTGGTGTGTACAGGGAGGCCTCAGAGCACGAACTCAGGACCTTCCCATGTGGATCCAGTTGGGTTACCACTGCACCACCTGACCTTCTGGTCTGGAAGGTTCTAGTGGGATTTTGCAGCACAGCTGAGAGGCACTGGTGATGCTGTGCTTACAAGCCTGGAAACAGAGCTATGAAGAGCCAGGGCAAAGACCAAAGGCTCCCCTGGACCAAGAGGAGGAAGGGAAGAGAAGCCTGAGGCTGAGAACATACTGATTAGGATGAATACTTCAACTCTCCTTCCTAAATCAGATCTCTTGAAGCAGCTTCCTTGGAGCTCAGGTTGGGAGAACCCCAGGGGCCTTTGAATTCTTGTTGGGAGAAGGCCCATGCTCAGCTAACCAGTTTCTGAGTCTAAATAGGACAGAAGTTGGCAAAGGTGAACTAAGAGTTCAAACTGAGACGTCATTCTGCCCTCTTTCACCTGAATGATGGACAGCAGCTGTTGTGGAGCACTCCCCTTTAGCTCTGGGAACAACCTGGGCAGGCCAGGTGAGAATGCACATCTCCATGCCTGAGAGTGCCTGGCATTCAATGTGGCCAGCCTGCACAGAAAGGACTTCTGGTCACAGTGGTGAGGCTTAGTTCCTGAACTGCTCGGGTCTGTTCTGCTTGTCAGACTGCTGCTACAGATGTTTCTCTGCAAGTTTCCTGAAGGTGCCTGATGTTGAGGGTAGAACATCCATGGTGGGCCTGCAGAAACCAAGAGCTGGAGAGTCCACCCTGAAGCAGACACTTCTGGTTAAGGGAAGAGTCCAAATCTTCCAACTGACTGACTTCTGTGATTGTGCCTGGGATGTTTACATCCTCCCGATTTAAATGTTCCTTATCCATTTTTTGCAGCATTGCATTTCCCATGGTCAGTGTGGTGGGACAGAAAGAAGCAGAACAGAATTCTAGCATGGCATGGAAGAGGTCTCCTGCAGGGGTGACTTATTTGTGGGGAAGAAAGGCATCAAATGGCATGAACTTAAGTAATACAGAGTAAGAGAACAGCTTGGGGGATGGAGGTGCTGAGGCAACTCTTGTCCACTTGTCAGAAGAGGGAGGGTCTATTTGGAGACTTGGGAAGAGGTTTTGGTCAAAAAAGTAATATAAATCAGTACTGTAATTGGCAGGCTCATCCAATTGGCAAGCCCAGAGGTGGGCAAGTCTGTATGCTCTCACAAGCAGTGTGGAAATCCCTGGCCGCCACTGCCAATTAGGCAACTCAAGTGCACAGAGGCCGTGAGTAACTGGAGGCCACTCAGCTAGATCCTGGGTCTCCTAACACCTGGTCCTATACTGGAGTCCCTAAACCCCTGTTGCATGTACAATGCCTCCTCTTGTAAAGATGCATCCATACTGGAAGGTTAGCAGGCCTTTGGGAGGCAAGGGGAACAACCACATTTGTCTGTCGGGCTTCCAGAATCTATATAATCCTGACACCACCTCTCTTTGTCTTGTCCCTAAAGCCCTCCTGTGAGCTGATGGCTAGTTTCAGTTCTTTTGTACCTCTACTGGGAAGCAGGATATGTGCAAACAAAAACCAACACACAAAAAAACAACACCCGAGTTCATTTCCTTTGCTGCGGGCCTTCACTCTTTACAAAGCAATTTAGGGGGCTACAGCAGCTAAAATTGTTAGAGGGAAGAGCACAAAGACTGGATGAGCTGGACCTGGGAGATCTGGACCTCCTAGTTCTGCCCTCAACAGCTGGGGTCCAGTCAAGCTACTTTGCATCACTGAGCCGGGCAGCTCCATCTGTACAATGGGGACAAGGAGGCCCACCTCACAGGGTGGTTGTGTGGATTAAGAGAATAGAGGGAAGGTGCCTAGCATAATACCAAATGAAAAACAGAGGTCCTCACAAATGGTTGCTATTGTTATTATTTCAGTGGCGCTATTACGTATCTCTGTCATAAGCAATCATTAGAAAAACTAGCTGGATTTCAGCGCTAATTTACAAAACGTTTCCTGGGGGACTATTAAAGAAAAACTCTATGATACTTGTCCTGAAATATTCCAAGAAAGGATGGTTTTAAAGATATATACTCTGAGAAAGAAAACAAAACAAACCCAATAACAATAAATGTAGGAGTCCAACAATGCTAAATGGAAGAAAACAAAATATTCCTGAAGTTCAGTGTGATGCTAATTGGGACTGCTCTTATCCTTTGCTGTTCCCCAAACACGCACTAGACAAGTCAAAGAACCACTGCTTGACCCTACACCAAAGGGGGCACCAACGCCATTTCTTCTATCAGGCCGAGGCCGCCCCTGGGTGCTTGGCCTGCTAGCACTGGTGGAGACAAACCAGAAAGTCCTGGGCCAAGGCCTAGGGCTCCTGCCCAGAAGCCCTTCAGTCCTCTTATGGGGATGTGTGAAAAGAGGGTGAAGCTCGGGAGTTCGTCCCTGGTTGAGCACTAGAAGGGCCTGATGGTCCAACCATGCACAATGCACCCCCAACTTGCAGTGCCCTGTTCCCTGAAAAAGCCGCCATACTGGGACCCTCAGCTCCTCCTGGGCCTCTTGGATGCAGCCCTCCCACCGCCCAGGATCAACTTGGCCTGCCCAGGTAGGGTCCCTGCAGGGGTCCTCTCACCCAATCTCTGACTTCTGCCTCTGTGCTTGGGGAGAAGCAGGTGGCGCCGCTGCACTTCCGCCCTTGCAGCCCCCCCCCCCCCACCGGCGCATGCGTGGTGCATCTGCAGGTCTTTCCCTCGTGATTAGGATCAGCAGTTAGCGTCTAGCTTACGTAGCCTTTCCTGCCTGGCAGACTGCCGGGAGGGCGTCAGCTATACGCCAGCTCTCCGTCCTCATAGATGCCGGGTGCGGACGTTGTCTCCTTCTAGAATTTTCTGCTGTGCTCCTTCTCGCCTGTGTCTCTTTAGGTCCATCAGTCCTTTCCCAGCAAGTGCCCTCCCACTCTTGTTGTCAGTTGGGTCCGCCCCACCCCCAACTCCCCTGCCACGCCCCTCTTCCCATGTGTCCTGTTGGGATCATCCAGTCTTTTTATTTTATTTTTTAACTAACATAGTTGACAATTGTAATTTATTTATTTATTTATTTATTTTTAGTACGAAAGGAGAGAAAGTCTTCCTTGATATGGTGTTAGAAAACAGCCAGAGTCAGAGCACCGTGATCTTCTGGCAAAGTAGAACAGTTAATATAAAACTGACATAAAGAGGCTTCATTCTGGGGGCCGCCAGGTGGCGTGGTGGTCAAAGGCGCTGGACTCCCACATGTGCTGGCATCATGCCAGGGCAAAGAGGACCCAAGAGGTGGGATCATCGCCCCTGTAGGAGGAGGAGCAGAGAATGAAGTAGGAGGTCTTGTCCCTTGTTGAAATGCAGGCGTTTTATCAGTCAGGCTTTGAGCTTGCTCTTCCATCCATTTCTGATAGCAGTTTTTCACATTCTCTTTGTATTTCCTACCATTGCAGTGTGTTTCTCTCAAGGATGGAGAATCATGGGTGAGGTATGTATCACAGTAGTCACAATAAAACTTAGGCATGTTGTTCTGGAGACCATTAGCCACTCCGGGGGTTCATCCAGTCTTGCTACGACTCTGCCCCACGTGTCCTATTGGTTGGGTCTATCCAATTTTCCCTGCTGCAACACCCCACTCTCCGGCAAAACACTCTAGTCTCATTGGATCTGTCACCTGCTTCCTGCAGAGCCCTTTCCCCTCCACCAGTCTTCAGGTCAAGTGGTAGCTTCTTTGGCCACCAGCTTCACTGTCCCCTTGTGTGGTTTGCAGGGGCTCTCCTGCCTTGGGTCCTAGGCACATCATGTGATCTACCCAGCTTTTGTGCCTGATAAGTCCCAGGTGAGACACACAGATCCAGGACTGAGGTACCACAGCCATTCTCCAGCAGCCCTTCCCTGCCGGCCCCTCTGGCTACCTACTTAGGCCTTCCTGGTGTCCCAATTGCTGCAACTTCTCTCAGCTGAACAAGGCTGCATGAAAATCCCACAGGGAAGCACCTAAGGATGCTTGTTGGCCACAGTTCACTCTAGGGTATGTGGGCAGTTGCCACCAGGAAGATCATTTAGAGATTTAGTGCCCTGGAGCTCTATAGGACCCTGCTATCGTCAGCCCTTTAGGGTCATGCCTCTTTAAATATGCAAACAGGTTGCATGGGGCCAGCTAGTGCTGTGGTGGTTAGGGCGGCTAGATCCCACAGGACCAACTGCCAGCTGAGGGTCTGGACAGGCGGCTTAGAAAAACACATTGTGTGCATATGCTCAAGATCCAGAAAACAGCATGGAGAGGAGAGTGGATTACTGTGTGGCTAAACCCATTGGGCCATGCTTTCTCACCTTCCTGCTATCTCTGTCTCTGGAGAGTGCACAGACCCTATCACAAACTAAATACAAAAACAGTGTGGGCACTCTTAGCTCAGGTACTTTAAAATTATTATTTAACATATTAAAATGCTTCTTGAAAAATGCATGGGTTGTCACCTCCTTCTGGCCATGCCCCACGTATGTGCTTTCATGTACTTGTTATGAAGTGGGGCAAAGGGCTTCATTTATCAATTGTGCCTGTTGGCCTCTGGGTTCCTGGGAGGCAGGCACTATGTTTTTGCCGGGGTAGGCATACTCAGGAATTAAGTACTTGTTGAGTACATACGTACTTGCTAAAATGCAGAGCTGGTGGGAAGTCCAGCCTTCGCTTATTTTGATTTCCTTAAAGGAGGTTTTCTAAAAATCTAAGGCAATGGAAAGCCAAAACTGGATTATATAACCTTTAAGGAGCTGGATTGAGGCCCCAAGGAGTTTGCTTCCAGGCCCCTATTTTGCAAATGAGGAAACAGAATCTCGGTTACAGCTTGCGTCAGTGCCTTCTTGGAGTGCGTGCTTCCGCGTCTATGTGTGTTGTATATAAACGTTCTCTCTGAAAGCCTGTCATTCAAAGATCTCGAACAATAGTCACCTGAAAGTAATAAGGTAATACTTTTGAAACAACCTTTGTTGCATGAGACAATGCTCTTGGCTCCCACAATAACTGTGACATTAGTTCAGGCCACAAGAATAAGAAAGAGAGGTGACGCCAACCCCAGCTGTCCCAACCAGCAACATGGAAGGTGTGATGTGTTCAATCTGCACAGGAGTGGACTAGAGACATGAAAACACTACTTATTCTCCTCTCATCACTTGTTCTTTTTTTTTTTTTTTTTTTAAAAAATTTTTTAAGGGGGCTGGGAGGGGGGGTGGGGGGTGAGGGCGATGCTTTAAGTCCCGGATCTGGTGGCTTGCTCTCTCACTTTCCCTCTCTCTCTCTCTGATCAAATTAAAATAAATAAATAAATAAATAAATAAATAAGAATTATTTAGGGACCAGCAGATAACATAATGATTACGTCATTGGACTCCCATGTTGTCGACCACGGTTCAAGTCCTGGACCCGGTGGCTTAAAACTCACGCTGGCACATGTGCATGTGTGCCCAAGATCCCTAGAGGAAAATGGAGGAGAAGGAATTGTGGTGTGGCCATCCCCATGGAGGGTGGTTTCTCACTTTCTGTCTCTCTGTCTTTCTCTGTCTCTCCAGTGAGCAGATGTACCCTATAGCAAAAATAACTCTCTCTCTCTTAAAAAAATAAATAAAAGAATTATTTATTAACTAAAATTACTTTCCAATTTTGACCAGAGACAGGGAGAGCAAGCTGCCAGGTCTGGAACTCAAACCATGGTTGGCCATGTGGGAGTCCAGCACATTTAGCTATTACGCCACCTGCCAGTCCCTCTTCATTTGTTCTTTACCTCATTGGGCTGAACAAAAGACAGAACACTTGAGGAGATTAGGAATGCCACTCAGAACTCCTGGTTGCATCACCTCGTGATGACCATGTCAATACATCCAGCTTGATTTTATTTTCAAAAATGGAAATATCCCTCTAAGACATAAACCCAAACCCTGCTTTTTCTTTATAAAGTAACACAAGGATAAGTAAAGTAGCAATACACACATCTTTTTAAAGGGGACATGAAAATTTAAAAATCTACTCAATAAAAATGTTGCCTCTTTCGAAAGAAAAAAATAACAGAAGTTTCCACTATTTCATTGAATTTAATCTACCTTGTCATTACCCTTCTTCCCTCCATACCCCATCTTAGCTAGGCAGATGATTGAAGGAGAGGGGTGGGGAGTGGAGGGATGGAGATGAATGAATGAACATTTACTTTGAACCTGTTATTTCAGGGACTCTTTATAACTACAACTCAGGGGGAGCGGGACTGTTGTAGCCACTTTACAGACGGGGCAGCTGGGGATCTAAGTGTAGCGAGTTAGGTAAGGCTTAGAGAAAGGGCAGCATGAAAGGCCCTCTCCTTTGTGCTCCTTCCAGTATTTACCATGTTGAATTATAACTGTCTGTTCCTCTCTCTTCCCCACCCAAGGGCCCACTAGTGACTGTGGGCAAGAGCTCTCTAAGATTTTTCGTAGCTGCTAAAATGATGCGTGGCTCGTAGCATACTCTGAATGTGTTTCGAATGAGTGACTAACAAATGAACAAATGAACTCTGTAGAAGCAATAAAATAACATGAATTTCTTTTGGATTTATTTTCAGCTCTATTAAGGTACAATTGACAAAAAAAAAGTTGAATATGTTTACATTGTACAATGGGATGTTTTGAGATACATTGTGAAATAACTAAAGCAAATTCACTAACAGATCCATTATCTCAGATACTTAAATTGTCGTGTGTGTGTAAGAACAATTCAGAACTATTCTCTTTCTGTGGTGACATTTTCACAGGTCTGTACTGAGCTTTATGAGGACGAGAAAAAAGAAAATATCTATTACTCTCTTTGTAATTTTTAAAAATAATTATTTTATTTTATTTATTCATTCATTTATTTTTTAATTTGACTAGAGAGAGACAGAGGGTGAGAGTGGGAGAGAGAGGAAATGAGAAAGGAAGCCACCAGATTCAGGATTCGAACCCTGGTCAACCATGTGGGAGTGTCCAGCGCCTTAACCACCATGCCACTTGCTGATCCCCACACTCTTTGTAATTTTTAAGGGTACAGTACATAATTATCAGCTATAGTTACTATGCATATAGTAGACCTTCAGATTTATTTCTCTGGTTTGAGACTTTGTACCCTTTGACCAAATCTCCCCCTTATTTCTTCCCTGTCCCCTAACCCCTCAACTCTTGGTAGATATGAGTCTCCACTTGCTTTTATTAGTGTGACTTTTAAATCTTATTATATTTTTAACTGCCAGAGGGCACGTGTGCTTGCCAGACAGACAGACAGAGAGAGGGAGAGGGAAGGAGAAAAATTACCCCCTAGTGGGTGTGGTCATGCCACAGTGCCATCTCTATTTTCCATCCTGTCCGGATTTGGGCACAAATGCACATGGGTCGAGCATGTTTTTTAAGCTGCCAGGGGCTAGGATGTGAACTGCAGTCAGCCAGGTGGGATCCAGCTCCTTTAAGTACTAGGCTATGGGGCTGGCCCAATTTTGACCTTTTTCAGTTTCACATATGAGTGAGATTATGCAGAATTCGTCTCTCTGTAGCTGTCTCATTTCACTTAGCCTGATGTCCTCCAGGTTCATGTTGTCACAGAGGACAGAATTTCTTTCTTTTTTACAGCTGACTCATTTTCCATTGTGCATGTATACCACAATTTCGTTGATCTATTCGTAGACAGTTAGGTTGCTTTCCTATCTTGGCTACTGTGAATAACATTGCAACAAATATGGGAGTGCAATTATGTCTTCAAGATATTGATTTCTTTTGGGCATATACCCAGCAGTGGGATTGTTGGATCATGCAATAATTACAGTTTTAATTTTTAAAAAAGTTTATTTATTTCTATCATGAGCAAGAAAGACACAGAGAGAGAGACAGATTCAGAGAAGAACCACACTCCCAATAGGATCTTGATGTTGTGATCCATTTCCAGCCTTCGGTCAGCCCTGGAACACGGGCTGGTTGAGTTTAATCATCAAGGACGGGCAGAGAGAGGCTGCCCCAAGGCCGGTTCTGGCACAGGTCCCAAAGCATTGTCAGGAGCTTGTTAACATTGCAGGACGCCCATGCTCAGCCCTGTCCAGCTTTGGATGTTAACAAGATCCTGGTTATTGTGGGGCACTTAAAAATTTGAGAGTGAATGCCAGGCCACTGGAGTTTTGTTCTCTTGGAAATGGTTATTAACTGGGTTAATTTATTGTAATAGCAATTCACCAGCTGAATCCAGAAAAATATGAGATTGGACTCTAGAATATCAAAGAGGAAAGGCCTTGGAAAAGTCCTTTCAGACAGGAAACCACACCTTCCAGATAAGACGATGATGGCGGTTCAATTCATTGCAGCAGAGCTGTCGGCAGGAGAGATGGCGAGTGTATACCTAAGGTGGGGCTTGCAGGACAGGATGAGGGGAAGGAGGGGAGGACCAGATGAGGGGAAACTGGAATGACTGTACTAAGCAGGGAACAGGGTGCGTGAGCTGGCTGCTAT